TTCCTGCAACAAACCAAAGACGCAATTTTATAGTCGAAGAAACAGGATGCAAAAGAGGCAGGAAGTACGCAATTTCGACAGAGGAGGTCAAAGGCGACTCTCCTAGACCAATTCCAATCATTTCCAGCGATTTTTATTTTTTTCATTTTTGGCAAAATATACAAAGGCTATAGCCTTTGTGTTTTTAGCGAAAATTGGTGGGTCCGGATTTCGACGGCAAAGTAGTCGAATCGACAGAGGTGAACCAGGGGACCACAAAACTACTTTTGGTTTCGCCAGAAACCACCCCTGTCAAGAGAAACTTGAGTTTTAAGGGGTGGTCTTTTGAATCTGGCGCGCGAGCCGGTCCGAGAAAAACAGGCGTAACTCACTTAAAATGGCCCGGCGGCGTGAAATTTCAACGGAGATATTGAAAGAGGATGCTGTCGGACCAATCCCAACCATTTCCAGCGATTTTTATTTTTTTCATTTTTGGCAAAATATACAATGTGTTTTTAGCGAAAATTGGTGGGTCCGGATTTCGACGGAAAAGTAGTCGAATCGACAGGGGTGAACCAGGGGACCACAAAACTACTTTCGGTTCCGTCAGAAACCACCCCTGTCCGCAGAAACTTGAGCTTTAAGAGGTGGTCTTTTGAATCTGGCGGGCAGCGTACGATGGGCTGCCTACCTCGCAGGCGAACCGGTCCACAAAAACGGGCGCAACTCGCTTGAAATGGCCCGGCGGCGTTAAATTTTGACGGAGAGATTGAAAGAGGATGCTGTCGGGCCAATCCCAACCATTTCCAGTGATTTTGAAATTTTTCATTTTTGGCAAAATTTACACTTGTGTTTTCCGAGAAAATTGTTGGGTCCCAGATTTCGACGGAGAATTATGCGAACCGACAGGGGAGATCAAGGGGACCATAAAACTACCTTTGGTTCCGCCAGAAACCACTCATGTCTACAGAAACTTGCGTTTTAAGAGGTGGTCTTTTGAATCTGGCAGGCAGGGTAAAATGGGCTGCCTACCACGCAGGCGAACCCATCCACGAAAAACAGGCGTAACTCACTTGAAATGGACCGGCGGCGTGACGGCGTGATATTTCGACAAAGAGATGCTGTCGAACCATTCCCAACCATTTGTAGCGATTTTCAAATTTTTCGTTTTTGGCAAAATTGACAAATTTTGATTATGACGGAGGAGTAAACGAATCGAAAGGGGTGAATCAGGGGACCACGAAACTACGTTTGATTCCGTCAGAAACCACCCCCGTCCACAAAAACTTGAGTTATAAGAGGTGGTCTTTTGAACTATGGGTGGGTTCCCTACCTAAGGCGCACTAGCTAAGAACTCTTCTGCAGTGGGTTGGATCCATGATATGTAGACAGAGCAAGTGAAAGGGGAGTCTGCCCGACCAATCTAAACCAATTTAAGCAATTTTCAAAGTTGTCAAGATTTTTAAAATACATTTTTAATTATGACAAATCAGTCTGAATTTTGACGGAAGAGGATTGAAATCGAAAGGGAAGAAAGAAGAACCAAGGCGCAACAAAATCCATTAAAAACCGACCTTAGATCGGCACCAAAGGGAGCTTCTCAGAGAGTCTGTACTTAGACAAATTGGACCAGCGTTGGTTACCATCATGTCAACTCACCTAAACTTTCAGGTAAAATGACTCCGTAGACTTCTTTGCTCATGTCAAGAACATTTCCAGGCTGAGTTCCTGCAATCATAATTAAACAGTAATTTTAGCGTTTATCTTTTAAATGCTTGCTTTTAGTTATTACTCAACAATCGTTAACTATTGCCTCTCCCCCATACTCTAGATGACCATCGTCTTTCAAATACTTATTTTGCACTGATAACAGTCTGAATGAACTAGTACATATTGCTATTCCACAAAGAATAATACAGAGTAAAATATATGATATATTATACCCAGATAGCGATACCAGCAACTTTTAATAACGAGCATCATTTACTCTGCCTCCAAAAATATCTTTATACACAACTAATAAGTGTATAAAATGAGCCTCTGAAGCAAAACTAACCTCCTACAATAACCGCGGCACTATCCCTTGGGATTAATATCAAAAAGCGGCGCTGTCAACTCACACATTCTGATTGAAATCCTATGATAAATTTGCGTCGGCGTTATTCGGTATTGAGCAGGTGAGCAGCAGGAAGACATAGATTTTCACTGTTTATGCTGTTTATTTACGTTTCCACGAATGAAGAAGCGGCGGGTGGTGGGGTGGAAGGGTGGAAGTGAGGGAGGGGGAGAGGGATCGGAACCCGAAAAAAGTTATCGCCATCTTTTGATATGTTGTTTCTATCACTTCAAAACGCACTGATAGGTGATAGGTATGTCTGAACAAACAAAAAAAACTGGTTCTTCACACTTATTAATTTTTTATCAGTCAGCGAAAGCTTTGTCCCCTGGAACGTACACTCAAATCTCGCCTCTTTGGCTCAATCGGTAATGCGCCTGGCCTGAGCGTGGGAAGTCGGTGGTTCAAATCCTCGTCGAACTGAATTTTTTCTCAGGCCACCAAATTTCAAATGGACTTCAAACTCGTCATTTCACCACGTCCCCCTCGTTGAGTTTCGACGGCGTAGTGGTTACCGTCCTTCCTGGAGGGTAGGCAATCAGTACACAAGCTGCCCTTTAGGTTGGGGGGGGGGGGGGATTGTGTTAGTTTAGATGCGTTCTGGGCCTTTCGGCTTGTCTGGGATTATGTGCAGAACCTTCAGGTCCTTGCCTTCTGCTGACACCCTCAAGGCTACGGAATTTCACATTACTCGAAAAATGATGTTCTATAATCGGGTCGGATTAAGCTGACTCTGGCCGCCGGCATTGCGGCCACCAATAGGGACGTGTGATAACTGTCAGTAAAATCAGATCAGTGAAGCGGCGTTGACTCGGGTCGCTCTGCGGGTGGCGTCTGCGCCGGCCAGGGGCGGCAACCCACTCGCCTCCACGGTGACTCGAGCCCATCGGTACCGACCGTCGTCCACCCGCTCCGCGTGCCGCGCGCACGCTTCAACTTCGAAAAGGGTCTGTCACGACTGCTTATTATTGTTCATAGCGAACTGGTTCGTGGACTCTCGCGAGGCTCCTGCGAGGGGTCCTTCACTATAAATTGTAGCGTACACCGATTTTTTTCTGTTTTTCTTGCTTTTTTGTGATTTTCTCTCGATTTTTTTGTGATTTTTCGCGATTTGTTTTCTGACTCTTTGTAAATTTTTTAAAGAATTTTTCGTGATTTTTTCATGAGTTTTTATGATTTTTTTCGTGATTTTTTCTAAGGGTATTCACTGATGTTTTTGAGTGAAGGACCCCTCGGGCTCCTGGGGCACCAATTCAATGAGCCACGCAGGATTGCGCATTACGGCGACTGGAAAAAATTAACGCGTCGCCTCGGTTTATTGTTTTCTGATGAGACCATATGCTGGTCACGGCGGGGAGCGGCGTCCGCAGGGCTATAGAGGCCCACCGCGCCGGCAGCCACTTACTTTCACCCCATCCCGCCCCAAACCACTCATGTCTACAGAAACTTGCGTTTTAAGAGGTGGTCTTTTGAATCTGGCAGGCAGGGTAAAATGGGCTGCCTACCACGCAGGCGAACC